AACTGGGGAACATCTATGTCTTCAGGCTCAGTGCAAAGGTGAACTCTCTGAAACATTTCCAAACACCTGAATCCCTCAGCCTATGCCCCTATTGGACTTGGGCACACTTCAACCCTTAGACATACAGAATGCCATCGCTTCATGCCTTCCCACCCTTATCTACCCACCCAGGTTGTAAGCAGCTTGTTTACAAGTTTTAGTCTTAAATATCTCTGTATTCCCAGTGCCTAGGGCAATATTTGGTATTCAATAGCCTCCTGAAAACTGAATTTATATAAGGTTTATATAAATTTACATTATTTATATAAGTATATATAAATTGATATAATTTATATAAGGTTTATATAAATTGATATAATTTATATAAGGTTTTGGGGCCTATTAGGAAATATTTTGAAAAGTAAGGACTGCCCATGTGAAGGATGTTTTAGCTATTATTAAAAACATTTTAGTATCAAATAACTTTCTCAATTAATAGAGAACAAGTCCCTCTGATGAAGTATCACTGGTGTCATTTTTTTTATTCAAAGAACTTGTACATTATTATTTGTCTCATAATTGGTCTTGTTATTAGTACAACGGTAATGAAAATAATATTGACCTTGTATCACCCACACTTGAAGGCATGTATGTATATTTTGCTGAGATTTGGCAAAGAGACAATAAGTAAGACATATTTTATACCACGGTAAGTTAATCTCCAAACTATTCTGTGAAGTCCTTCAAAATACAACCTTCTAAGAGGATCATTTTTTTTTTAGTTTTAAATGCTTTTAAAATATTTTTATTGTTCCAATAGATGGACATAATTAATCCTATGATATATGTAAAGCATTATATTGTGTTCTATCTACCACAGGCATTGGAATAAACTTAATATAGAATTAGAAACAGTTATGGATCACATAGTAAAATGGTTTTAAGCAATGTTCAATATTCTACATTTTAAGATCAGAAAGCAAGCATAAAACACTATCAGAAATTAATCCATTATATCTAACATTGGTGTTGGTTTGGGGTGACTTTTTTTCATTTCTATGATTATACTTAATATTCATTGGTATTTGATGTTGTAGAGGACACCCCAATTTACAGAGCTCAACAAAGAACCAGCAACAGAGACAGAACACTGTGGGACATATGCCTTCAGCCCAGACACTTGTACTATGAACCTGCCGCTGGATATTCAAAACCTGTGGTACATTTAATTGCAAAGGAATATAACACTTAAAAATTAACAATTCAGGC